TGACCTCTTCTTGGTGTTGTCTGGCTGAAGAAGACAGTTTTTGTCTAACATATTTTCCCCCAATCATTGTGGGAATCTTCCCACCATGTTACTAGCCTAAAAATATGAAACACTGACAGGTAGGATTTAACCTGGCTGAAGAAGACAGTTTTTGTCTAACATATTTTCCCCCAATCATTGTGGGAATCTTCCCACCATGTTACTAGCCTAAAAATATGAAACACTGACAGGTAGGATTTAACTTTTCCTCCAGACAATCTTCTGCAATGTCTCCGCTTACTTGGGAATAATACCATTGTACCTAATAAGATTTATTTGCAAGTAAACCTGCACCATCGGGATTGCCCAGCAGTTGTTGAACACTAATTTTCATTGTGGCCATGGTACGTTTGATTTTGATGTGTGATTATGAAAACTTGACTATGAAGAAAATGACATGTAGAACATTTGCTCACTTAAAATATTATGCTGTGTTCTGTGGATACCATGAGCTGATAAAAAGACAAATGAATAATCCCCACAGCAAATCAAGCCTGGACCTCACTACCTCTGAGGATACTTGCCATAGATGCAGGCAAAATGTCAGGAGAAAATGCCTTTAGAACATGGCCATATAGCCCGAAAAAACCTACAACAACCCAAGCCTGGATTCTTACTAAACTGACACAACATGACTCACTGAAAAGATTAAAATGCTGAGTAAAGGGGAAGGTGATAGGAAAGAGAGTCTACAATAGCAGCGGAGTGATTTAATCAAGGAAGCTGTATTAGTAAATTTGCAAGACCTGGACAGGGCAGTTGATGACTCCAAAACTTGGTTCTTGTCTGTCTCTCATTCATAGGGTTGACTTAGGCCGATGACTAACAACAACAAAACTTGACCTGGGGCTGATGGGAGATAGAATCCAAAGGATCTATCATAGAGCTGATAAGAATACATTAATAATTACATTTTGTTTTAAGAGCATGTTTAGTAAATCTGTTGATCAATGCTTTGCTGTTATTTTACTGAATGCTCATCTGGATTTGCAATTACACCCATGTTAACACCCAAGCAAGCCTCTGATGAATCATTTTCTTACATTGCCTCATGTTACAAGAATTTGGGACTGGCCACCAAATTGTCAGTCATTTTTTCATGTAGCCCAGTCCTCCAACATACTCTTCAGAGTGTAAACATTAGTAGAATATCCAAAAGGTCCAAGAAGGTCAAGGAATCACAACTTCATTGAAATTATCTGCTGGAAAAAAACAGGCAGGGACATCTAATCACCTTTCAAGAAGAGTTTGCTCCAGGCACAGTCAGCCCATTGTATGCTAATCAAGGTGGTCAGTTGAAAGATTCACACCTAGCCCAACTTACAAAAGCCCTTTGTCTCACCCTGGTCATTCCACAGATATATAAACCCCCTTTTTCCCAGTTCCAGCAGACCTCACCTCTGAGGATGCTTGCCATAGATGCAGGCGAAACGTCAGGAGAAATGCCTCTAGAACATGGCCATATAGCCCGAAAAAACCCACAAGAACTGAGTGATTCCAGCCATGAAAGCCTTCGACAATACATTAAATAAATATTATTTCAACAAAAAAAAAAAGTACAGTACAACCCCTAGTTGCATGGGGGACATGTCCCTGTACTTACTGTGGAAACAGGAAATCATGGATGATAGCAAACTCTATTGAAATGATCCAGTGTTAGTTACATAGAGTCTGACTGAAGGATGTAGACAATTCCTAGTGAGGTATTCTCTCTAGAAATTGCTGGGTCTTCCAGTGAGATGTTTGACAGGAGCATACTATAGAATCACATAGAAGATTAAGAAAGGTCCTGGAGAACACATATTTTGTTGGATTTGGGTAGGTGAAACAGTGGGAATCGGTCCTGTGGATACAGTGGGAATTGGTCCACTAGACACAGGGGTCACACTGTATTACTTTTCCAGTGATGGTACTTTGCATTCCAGTGATGGTACATAAGAACTGCTGCCCCTGAAGGAGAGGGGACAATAGTACAGAAACATCATAGGACATTAGGTGTTGAGCCTCACTTTTGCTAGTCATCAATTATACCATGATTGCAAAAAAAATAAATAAAAATAAAATAAAAAATTCTTATTGTTCTCCATAATCTGATGTAACCTTTTGTTGACATTACATGTGTAGAATTTATTGAAGATTTCCTTTTAAATAGTCCTTCTTGCATCGGAATGTTGTATTTATCAGCTCTTCCAAGATGAGCCATGCTACAAGTAGGTGTTCAACAAATGGTACGTGATCCTTTGGTGCCACCTACTGATCAAAACAGGGCTAGCAAAGGTCAGAATCTGATTATATTCGAAAGTAGTAGAAATTCTAGGAATTTGTTATATGGATTCTATGAATCACATAGGCATTACAGTGGGTCCTTAATATCCACTGGGGTTTAATTCAGAACCATCTGTAGACACCGAAATACATGGGTGCCCTAAGCCTATACCTATAAAATTGTCCTCTATCTATCTATCTAGGACACAATTTTATAGGTATAGGCTTAGGGCCCATGTATTTCACACACACACATATAAATACACATACATACACACACACACCATATACATACACATACACACACATGTAGATTCAGCAGCCATGGCTGCAGAGGGCTTGCCATACCTCTATGAAACCAAGTTTGAAATATGAATGACAGCAATATAAATACCTAAGACACAAATCAATTAGGCGTTTGTTCTATAGGCAAGGAATCTAATAATACTTATCTGACTAGCCATGTAAGTCTACAATCATATGCAGGTGTGACTCACTGAACTCAATATAATTCCTTTTTAAACAGAAATTGGGAATCCTCCAACTAGTATTAGAATGAAACTCCCAAGACCTGTTAGATAGTGAGGGCTGGTTGGAGGTGTGGTTTAATAACATATGGAAGATTACACAGATATGATTGCTCATCAGGTTATGTACTCTAATAAAAAACACGAATTCATATCTTAGCAATATGTCTTCTATATTCCATCTATTCTACCTAACATTTCCAGCCCTTTGCTGTTAATAAAGATGTACACTAGAAGTACAATATTAGCAATGTCCAACTTGTATAGATGAGGCTACAGCATTGGGTTATGTACACATTATATCTATGTTGAAAGATCTAATCTGGTTGCTTATTAGCTATCAAGCCATGCTCAAGGTTTCAATCTATTGACCCAAATAAGTCTTAACCAGGAGGAGGTCATATTCCTTGTAAAAGACAAATTAAACCACAGGGTATTCATTGGAGATTGATATCCACACACTCTGAATATTTCCCCTCCACATAATTTCATATGCTGAAGTCTCGAACACTTCTTAATGAAGTATTTACAAAGGCCTTTCTGGCAAGTAGCAATTAATTCCCTAACCCTATCTGTGTGCTGGCTGTTGGATGTTTTATTATTTTAAAGCTAGAGCCCCTGGTGGTGCAATGGTTTAAATCCTTGTGCTGGCACGATTGCTGACCGAAAGGTCAGCGGTTCACATCCGGGGAACAGGGTGAGCTTCCCTCTGTTAGCCCCAGCTTCCCATGCGGGGACATGAGAGAAACCATCCACAGGATGGTAAAACATCTGGGCATCTCCTGGGCAACATCCTTGCAGACGGCCAATTTCCTCACACCAAAAGCAACTTGCAGTTTCTCACGCTGCTCCTGACACTAATTTTTTAAAAAAAAAGATGATTTCAAACTGCTTGTTAGCATTGTGTACTGATGACTGCTTTCCATACATTGTTATGTTGGTTATTAGTATAGGTGTTTATCTTGTTACTTGGTTGGAGGATATTTCCAGGGTGCAGAAGCAATGAATAATAATCTTCCAAGCTGGGGAAAATGGAAGGAAAAAGGAAGAGGGGCCGACCAAGGGCAAGATGGATGGATGGGATCCTTGAGGTGACTGGATTGACCTTGAAGGAGCTGGGGGTGGTGACGGCCGACAGGGAGCTCTGGCGTGGCCTGGTCCATGAGGTCACGGAGAGTCGAAAACGACTGAACGAATGAACAACAAAGCTTTAATTCACTCTCATGTTTCAAGACTCACTGGTGTAGCTGCAGGAACCATTTCACTCAGGCTGAGTCTACCAAGTTTGCAAAATTTGTGTGTGTTTTTTTAAATTTATTTATCTGTTTGTTTGTTTTGTTCTGTTAGTAATGTAATACAATGTTCTGGTTGCAGATGACATGATAAATAAAACTGGTCTTGTCTCTTTTTATATTAAGAAAATTCATCTAGTGAGATGGGAAGAATAGTCTATGTTTAAAACCAGTGAGAAACCCATCATTAGAGCAATAACTTGATGCTACACTAGAACTCACATCATTCCCAACTAGCATGGATTATTATTCAGAGGTGATGATTGTAGTCCAAAGTCTGGAAACCCAGCATTAGGAACCACTATGTTGAGAACGCTCCTTCTTGATAATCTACTTGTGACAGCCCAGAGCAGAATGTCAAAGCTAAAATGTTGACTTGAGCCAAGGAGGAAACAGATTGGTTATGAAACACAAAGGTATCTCACTGTAGTTAAGAAACAAGATGGAAAATGTATGAGTGACTTCGAATCAACAGATTGTCAGTTGGCTTAGGAAGGTTGCATATCAGGTTTTATCAGATGTGAGGTTTGGATTGGTGATACATTCTGAAAGAGGTAGTCAGTTCAATTGTCTCACCATCTAAAACAAACAAATGCTTCAAGTCAATACACTTACATCTTCTAAAACAGTAACATGGTTCATGAAGCTACAGAGCCTTCAAAGTAAAGGAAGGAATGCCCAAACATGAAATCAAGTTTAAAATAGCCTGCCTCAACCTGATGCTCCCCTTCCACAAGGCTTTGGACACAACTCGGGAGCAATTGGCTCTTAATATTAGTTTGAGATAAGCAGATGGGCAAGGAAAGCTTTATGGTACATTTCTTCATAAGCCTAAGCAATTTTTATTATTTGATTTGGGAAAGAAACAGGCTGTTACTTCTTACAAAAGGCATTTAATCTTCTCAGATATACAAAAACAGAATATGTAACAAAAGTATTTGTTAGTTCAATCAAAATATTGACAACTGAAAAATACTTAAAATACAAGAACAATGGACTGAAATAGCATCACATTTTGTTTGTTTTCTTTGCATGTATGGGGACGCAAAATGCAAAACATAGCACTTTAAAGCAACAATCTATTTTTGTTAGAGAAATCAAACATACCAATATTATTTGTTAGTTATATCCCAGATTTCCCCCCACCAACCTCAAGGTAGCAGACATCTTTCCTTCTCAGCTTGCAATGTTTTAGCTATGCATCATCTGCAGCTATGCAAAGTTTTAGCTATGCATCATCTGACACATTAAGGAGCCCCAGTGGCGCAGTGGGTTAAACCCTTGTGCCGGCAGGACTGAAGACCGACAGGTCACAGGTTTGAATTCGGGAGAGCGCAGATGAGCTCCCTCTGTCAGCTCCAGCTCCTCATGCGGGACATGAGAGAAGCCTCCCACAAGGATGATAAAACATCAAATCATCCGGGCGTCCCTGGGCAACGTCCTTGCAGACGGCCAATTCTCTCACATCAGAAGTGACTTGCTGTTTCTTAAGTCGCTCCTGACATTAACAAAAAATAAAATAAAAATCTGACACATTTATATAACAGTATGAAAACTCCCCAAGAAATACAGTATTCCCTGCCTAAGGAAGCAGCAGTTTGCTTCACACAGGACTGGGACATTTAGCTCTCAAGAGAAGTTACTTTTCTGTTGCTAATTGAGTTGAAATGTTATTAACTGTTTGTCTGCAATCCTTAGAAGGCCAAGGAGGGAACTGGCCACTGCCTGCTTTGAAATCCTTCAATAACTGACATATAAGACAGAAGGTAAGTCAATTACTCTTAACATAATCACTGTTTCTTCTTGTATCATTTTTAAATTCTTCGCCTGATAAAAAAGTCATGAGAAGCTTCAAAAACTTGCATGATATATTTTTTGCTTTGTTGTTTGTGGGTTTTGTTATATTTTGCTGCACTGCAACATCACCATCCCTGAATATTTTTCTCCTCCTCACTTTATTCATTCTTACAGTAAACGTCTGAGTTACACCAGCCAAAGGGAATGACCCATAAAATAACCCAGTTAGTTTTGTAGCTCGGTGGGGACAAGAACCTGGTTCTTGTATGTTCCAGCCCAAGAGTCTACCCAAAACACATCACTGGCTCAGAAAGTCTTCACATTTTAATGTTCTCTGTACTAAATACTGATATGTTAAAAAGTAGTTCTGCTGTGGGGTCTTCTGCTTCCCCGTCAAAAAGGATTACATAGCACTTTGAGATATCCCCTAATACAGATAGCCCCCCACCTCCACAAACACAGCCTGGATATTGTTAGCTTATGTCAACAAAACCCAAGGCTATTGCAGAGGTCACCAACTTGTGTATCATCAGCAACCTTTGATAAATTCAGGTGGTTGAGCCATCCTCCCTTGTTCACAATTCCAATACTGTAGGCTTAGTCCTACATACCTGAGGTAATTAGAGTGCTACCAATTATTTGCTACACATGTCCTGAGACACATTACATACCACGGAAACTGGCTTTACCATTAATCATTCCTTCTACCATTATAATAATAGTTCCATGGACTGGGGTAGGTTGGAGAATAGAAGCTAAGTAAGTTATCCAAGAGGCTACCATCAGCCTTTTTCAAAACGACACCCTGCAATTGCACTGCAATTCCCATCCATCTTCAGTTGCCAAGTAATCCTTTATGATTCAATATTTCTTCAGCTACAGTTCACTTCAGCCAATTTCAATTTCCCTGATCATGTAAATCAACCTGAGCAGGGAGTAGGCAAGGTTGAGTCCGCTGCACATTACCCGCTCTACCACTGAAAAAAACAAACAAACTCAGAGCTGGAATGGCAAGGAATTACTTCTAATTTTAGAAAACTTCTAAAGCAGAATAACTGTGTTTTTAAAGCTATGAAAACAGACTGCCTTTTGTGAAACTGCAGGTAATAATAGCTAAACTAAGTAGGAAAAAAGCCCCCTGCATGTTGCCCAACCGTGGATTAAAGAATGAGGATGCTAAAGTGCCTGCACTGCTCCTTAGGTTTGTCAAAATCTGATTAAAATAGCCTTTTCCAGCTGCACTGGAAAAAATGGTATTGTGCATGCAGAGAAAATTCTAAAATATATTCTAAGAAAATTCTTTTTTTCTAAACCTGAAGCTTCAATAATGAGTGTACCTTAGATATGATGAAATACAGTATTGCACTGGGCATGCACCAGAAGTGCAGGGCTAAAAATTAGTTTTAGAAGAGCTTTTATGCATACTAGATTTTGAAACCACTTGGAGTCATCTAGCTGCTTTGAGTCTCTTTGTGGAGAGAAAAAGTGGGGTATAAATAAACATCATCATCATCATCATCATCATCATCATCATCATCATCATCATCATTATACTCAGAGAAGATTAATTCCTCTTTCTTGTAGGGCAGAAAAGAATCCTACTTTCCAATTGCTTTAATACTAAATATTTATGATATAATGATGGCTTTGGGGTTATAAAACAATCTCAAAAGTAATCTCAATTGAAAGGCATGCTATCAGTTAGACTTCAAACAGAAAGAAAACACTTCACTGAAGGAGGAGGAAGTACTGTTCATTCAGTTATCTTGGCTGAATTGCATTGACCTGAGATTCTCAAATCAACACAATTAATCATTTAGCTAGCCATGCTTGACATATCAGGCTAGAAAATTTTCAAGTACTAAGTATCTGTTAATACATTCATTTCAAATAGCAATCAAGTACCATTTCAAACAGATTGCAGGTTACTCTAAGTCACTAAGGTGGGAAAACACCAGTTAATATTCTTAACACCGAGGGTTCGTATTTCCGTAAGATTCAGTCTGACTCCTGGAACAATTTCTGAGGTTTCCTAGCAAGTCTTTGTTAACAGTCCTTGTCCTTGCATTTTCAATTTTCAAGCATAGTAGTGAATCTTCACATCTGCAACATTCATGGAAAAAGTACAATTGTTTCAGAAGTAAAAAAAACAAACCCTAAAAATATTTCTGTTTTGTCTGATCATGGCTCAGCAAGATGGTTTTCCTATCAGTCCAGTCCAAACCCAGGAGAGAAATGTGCAAGTAATAATTCTTATCATTTCCCTTTTGTAGCACGGATGCTCCAGAGATGTTGGCAGATTTAGACTTATGACAGCTGGCCACAATCAGTAATGACTATCTTCTTTGAAGGTTTTCCACTCTTTGTGCCAAAGCTTTCGATTTTTTTCAGAACATCCATTCCTTCCTTCAGATGACCAAATACAACATGCTTTCCATCCAGCCTGCAAGAGAAACAAAAATAATGTAGGAGAAAAGTAATGCAGAGCTCCTATAACAACTGTAGTAAGAGAGTGAAGAACATGCCTGCACCCATGATTCAACAAGAAATGATAAAAAGACTTAATTTGGGATCATACCATAGAAGTTAAGGAACTTAGCAATGGGTTGGCATGAGGTCTGAATTCATACACCTTCGTCTGACATAATCCATAAATGAAATAGATGTAAAATTGGTTGCTACATGATTAAAAAAAAAAAAAATCCGAGTAGATAAACTGGATTTGTTGCCACTGCTAACTTCTGTAAGGATCTTTTGGAAAATGTGGTATTGTTTTAATGTTATTGTTTTGCTTTATGAGTTTATTTATTGTTGTATTTGTTATACTGTTGTTTTATTGATGTGTTGGCCTTGGCCTCTTGTAAGCCGCACCGAGTCCTTCAGGAGATGTTAGCGGGGTATAAATAAAGTTAATAATAATAATAATAATAAGTATCTGCAACTATGTCAGTTACGTGGTCCATTTCAGCTGATTCTATAAAAGTGAGTTCTTTGTGTCTTCAACGTGATCATATGGTAGCGTCACAACTGATCATCTTTGAGAAGCTCTACTTCGGGGTTTTTTCACATCAGGAGCAACTTGAGAAACTGCAAGTCGCTTCTGGTGTGAGAGAATTGGCAGTCTGCATAGACGTTGCCCAGGGGATGCCTGGATGTTTTACCATTCATGTCCGCATGAGAAGCTGGAGCTGACAGATGGGAACTCACCCTGATCCCCAGATTCGAACCAACATTTCGGTCAGCAATCCTGCCAGCACAAGGGTTTAATCTATTTTGCCACCAGGGCCCCCTCCTTTATATTCATAAGAATTGTATTAGATTAATGTCTATTCCATCATTCAATTTCCAAAAAGCTGCCAGTCAGATAGATTTCCAAAAGCTCACAAACAAGACAAAATGGCAAAATGCACCCCATTTGTCTATATACAGGTTTGTTTAATTATACTGTAATTATCTAAACATATGGAAAGGCATGCTTTCCATTCAACATTTTTAATTACCTTCAATAGTTGGGACCTCAATTCCCTGCAGTACTGTGTCAACCTGCCAATTGTATCTACCAAGGGACAATATTTTTCTAGGACTGTCCTACATACAGGAAAACTCTTTGCTTTGGAGCAGGAACTGATATTTCTGGGGCTTCACAGATGCTTTTCCCCCACCCTGGAAATTGGGAAGATCCATCATTCTCTAGCCACCTTGGGAAAAAATATGCTCCACAAATGGCAAATCACTCAAATCCCTTGGAAATGGGGAATTTACCATTTTAAAGTGATTTAGACAGGGCAGGCATAATTTTGGCCAGAAAGAGTAAAACCTTGTGTTTTATGAAAAAGTAATTTTCTAACCTTAAAAAAAAGTCTGGGGAGAAGATTACATGCCAAATAGCAAAGAGACCTCCAAAGGCTTCTTAGGGTGAAATTTCCTAATTTTAGAGCAAATACTTAAAATGAAGGCTACAATGGGGGTAACGTGAAGCCTGTTAGGATACCCTACTCTGCGCAAAACTAGTGGCTTCTACCGAAACGTTATGTAGAAGAACAAAACCTTTTCCCTAAGACTAGTGCAACAAATATTTAAAATTTTTCAATTTGGGTCCAGACTATACGAAAGATTGCATCTCCCTGGAGGGGCCTGATTCAGTTTTGAGACTTTTCTCTTGATCCTACCTCTGTGACAGCTCCCATAATGTGAAAATCTTTCTGACTGAAAGTTATATCTGTTGTCCTTCCACCAGCAAATATTTTTTATTGTTATTTACACAGGTTCTTGGCTCACAAGAGGTTGCTGAAAAGGGCCTTCTAATGGGAACACAATCTTTTTCTCCCTCTGCTGGCACACTTTAAGACTCCTTTTCATTCACCTTGGCTTTTAATGTGACAGTTTATGCAATTACTTTAAACTGTTACTTAATACTGAACCCATTTTTAGCTGTGTTCTGTTTTGGTTTTCACAGTAAGTCAACTTGGGTGTTGTATGTCAGACAGGTGGGAAGTAAACAAACAAGTGTAGAAGTGAATAGGATCAGACAAAACACAGTTTGAGAAGGAATTGCATAAAGTTACCCCCAAGACAGCAGGACTGTGAAAAAATCAAGTATCTCGCCAGAATTTGAGGGCTGGCCCAAGAGGATGCACATGACTCTAAGGTCCACATGCATTTCTATGCAATGGTTTTTAGCTCTTACATTAGCAGACAACCAAATACCAGAGCCATCACATGCTAGAAGACATTCGCAACAGCGCTGGCACATGTCAACAATAAGCAATTAAATACATTTTTATTCTTACAAATATTAACAGATGGGTTTGTTCAGGTCACACTAACCATCCAGCCAGAATGCCTAATATTTCGATTCCTCATTTACGATTATCAAGTTGCCTTCACTCATTAAGTGTTCGACTAACCAGAAATAAAACCTGCATGTTATTACATAGCAACGGTTTAAACCCTCGTGCCAGCAGGACTGCTGACTGAAAGGCTGGCAGTTTGAATCCGGGAAGCAAGGTGAGCTCCCATCTGTCAGCTCCAGCTTCTTATGAAGGGACAGGATATAAACTTCCCACAGGATGGTAAAACATCTGGGCGTCACTTGGGCAATGTCCTTGCAGACAGCCAATTCTCTCATGCCAAAAGTGACTTGAAGTTTTTCAAGTCACTCCTGACATGAAAAAAAATATATTTATATAAGTGTCCTCTTTGTACATTATCTATGTAGGAAAGTTACAGAGAAAGAGTAAGATTGATTATTCCTTCAGAAATTTTATAAATGCTGAAGAATCACCAAGCCTTCCAACTTATGCATTATACTGTAAGTATTGATTTCTATTTACATTAAAGTTGCACCAAGATGTTGATGGACAGAGAGGGAGCTTTCAGCAGGCTGTTGAAAAAAAATATTTTCCAACCTCAACCACACCTTTGTTTTTAACCTTTAGATTGGCAACTTGTTTGTGCTTGTTTTCTGAAAATCCTTGTCCAAACTTCTGCATGCGCTAACTTTTCTTTGTGTATTTTGGGCATCATATTAAAGTAGTACTACCCAACAGGGCACTACACTGTGAATATATCAGTGCCACGTAAGCATATTTTACCACAAAGCCAATAGCAAGTGAGAAGGCAAAATATGCTGTCCTCACACTTAATGGGTAAGTAAAGGTAAAGGTTTTGCTCTGACATTAAGTCCAGTCATGTCCGATTCTGAGAGTTGGTACTCATCTCCATTTCTAAGCCGAAGAGCCGGCGTTGCCCGTAGACACCTCCAAGGTCATGTGGCCGGCATGACTGCATGGAATGCCGTTACCTTCCTACTGGAGTGGTACCTATTGATCTACTCACATTTGCATGTTTTCGGACTGCTAGGTTGGCAGAAACTACTTAATGGGTAGCTACTGTAATTTTTCTTTCCAACTACTGCTTGAAAAATCACCACAATGAAAGCATTTCAGGTGACAAAAGTCTTATGTTTCATATTATTATGATTACATATTATTCAATGTAATATTAATTTTAACTCAGGGCTACAGAAGAAAGAATGCTTGTCCAGAAGTCATGGGAACAGTGATATGTAGAACAATATAGCTTTATATATTGAGAATGCCTCTAGACCATGGCCATATAGCCCGAAAAAACCTACAACAACCCAGTGATTCCGGCCATGAAAGCCTTCGACAATACAATATAGCTTTACTTAATATACAATGAACACGCTATTCCTATCCCTCATATTCAACAAGAAACATAACCTGGGCAGTTTCCCAAAATTCAAGAAAACATTCCTCTTGAATGCTTACCAATCTGTTTTGGCTGTGCAAATGAAGAACTGAGATCCATTGGTGTTGGGGCCAGCATTAGCCATTGAAAGAACACCTGCAGAAACGACAAGCCAGCAAATTCACTTCACTTTACAGAAACAAAGAATGAACAGTAATCTAGGGAGGTTATTTTATGAAGCCTTCAAATGCAAATTTCCCAAGTGGAATTAACTGGTGTTATATGTCTTCCTAGGAATCCAAGACTTCCTCATCTGTCTTTTCTTTAAAATATTTTCCAAATAATGGACTCACTGGTCCCAACTGCAGTGAGTATTTCTTTTCACTGAAGTGTGTGTGTGTTTGTGTGTGTGTACATACACACACACACACCAGATTGTGGCGCAAGAACCAGGTTGTGGCGCAGTTGGTTGGGAGTCAGCTGCATTAAAATCACTACTGACTGAAAGGTCATGAGTTCAAAGCCAGCTCGGGTTGGAGTAAGCTCCCGACCATTTGTCTAGCTTGCTGTCGATCTTTGAAGCCTGAAAGACAGTTACATCTGTCTAGTAGGAAATTTAGATACTGCTTATGCAGGGAGGCTAATTTAACTAATTTACAATGCCATAAAAATCTCCAGCAGCGTGCAAAAGAATGAGGAAGTACTCAATTGGTGTCACAAGTGGACAGTGAATTGACAGCTCCCCCAGTGGCCAGAATTTGAAGCATACCCTCATGAAGGTGTGTTTGTCTATATATGTTGTGTGTCTATGGCAGGCATCCTCAAACTGCGGCCCTTCAGCTGTTTGGGCCTTCAACACTCAGAATTCTTGACAATTGAACAAGCTTGTTATGGCTTCTGTGAGCTGGAGGCCCAAACAGCTGGAGGGCTGCAGTTTGAGGATGCCTGGTCTATGGCATTGTGATCTGCCCTGAGTCCCCTGTGGGGTGAGAAGGGTGGAATATAAATACTGTAAATAAATTGTGTGTGTGTGTGTGTGTATTACACACACACACACACACACTTATTTGTGTATGTATATTGGGGGATCATTCTGGAGATAAAAGAAGCATATGATTTTGGACAATTTCCTCTTCCTCCTGATTATGATATTTATACCTTGCTTTTTTCTCCACAAGAAGACTCATCTTGCCCTAATAAATGTTGTAGAATAAATTCATTAAATCTAGGTTTTCAGGGAATCTGTATGGCTTCTGCAAGACAAATCATATGTGGTAGTTCCAAACTTCTATTATAGACCAAAACAGGGGCCATTTAAATATGATTATTTAAGGCTTAGGCCATGGTTCTAATGCAAGAGATAAACACAAATACAAAGTATCGCCACTAAAGGGTTATTAAGAACCCTTTCTGTGCAATGTCACTTCAACCATACAGGGACAGATTAGAGCATAGACATAGTAGTAAGCAGTCATTTTTGTAGTTGAGAGTAGTGACAATTTGCCTGGAAAGGTTTAAAAAAACAAACAAAAAAACAAGATCATGCTACAGCACATACTTAGTATACATGAAGTGGTGATTACCATTATACTCTGATAACTTCAGAACAATCAGGTGTCTCAAACCCAAAACGTGAGTGTGGTTTTCCAGTGCTGGCTAAAAACATCCCCCAAGCAGTGAAAACTTTAAAAGAATATGAATCCATCCTGAATAGTATGGAAAATGAAATAAAATTCTTCAACCAATAAAATCTCTGTATTTAAATGAGAGCTGAACCTTGGTTTATTTTAAGTCTTCCAGGTCATTACTGATTCCAGGCACCAGTTCAAAAATTCATTGCCAATCCTAGACCAGGCAAGGAGACAAAAGGGTCATTTGCATATTGATGTCTTTAACCTTCTGTTTTCCCAAGTAGGGCCATACTTAAAGTAACAGCAAGTATTTAAGGGTTTGAGCAGGGATTACCCATATCAGAGATCCAAAATCTGTTTCAGATCTCAATACTGGGCCATGAAACCCACAGCTCTGAATGTAAACATTATTAGAAGATGGCCTTCTTGTTTATGAACGTAACATACAATGGAACCATGAGAAAACAGATCTTCCCCACTGCCATTAGTAGAAAGTAGCAGATATAAAGGGCCAAACCAATGAGAGGGGGAGGGAATTTTGTTTACCTGGTCCAATATGTTTAAGGATGAAATTTTCATCAGGAAATCGGCTGCCATATATAGATTTGCCCCCAGTGCCATTGTGATTAGTAAAGTCACCACCCTGGAAAGAACAAAAATATTTATCTCATTATACATGCAGTCCATCACATGGTATGAGCTCATAATGACATCATAATGATGTGGAGGCAGGAACAGTCACACCTTGAGGTTGTTACATCACAAAAAAGTTTTTCATTACACAACAGAGGAGCAAGGACTAACTGGACAGGGGAGACCATTTCTGGGAGACACAAGAATAACGTTTAGGAAGAATATAGAACTGATAGTATTGTCCTTTGATTTTATCTTACTGTCTTCTGTTGAACTGTATTCAAACTATGACATTATCTATAACTGGCATGGGCAACCTTCGGCCCTCCAGATGTTTTGGACTTCAACTCCCACAATTCCTAAGAGCTGATAAACTGGCTGGGATTTCTGGGAGTTCAAGTCCAAAATACCCAAAGGGCCGAAATTTGCCCATGCCTGATCTACGGCCTACTGTTATAGACCTGCAACATTTATAACTACATTTGAAATATCCCACAATACCAGTGGTAAGAATAAGAAATTTTAAAAATATAGTCATGCTGGAATTTCAGCACTAATATTTCTCCAGTATCACCTTGGTGAACGCAGTAATTAGCTTCCTTAGTAATTAATAACGGAACCTAACAAATATATACATTAAATGAGCCACAATGCTATAGAGCCCGGAAGCTTAACACTATTCATTTGGTCCTTCCTTTACCTCAACCTCCACTCTCTTGGATTTTTGCAAATCTACTTATTGCTTTTTGTTAATTGTTCAGTGTTGTGGAACTGCAGAGTTTAAGTCTTAAACTCTGCAGTTGGATGAATTAGGTTACAGGGATAATAATAACACTTAGCATTCATGACTGATACTCCCTCACCACCAACACAACAGCAAAAGAAAACATTTATTCACAAAAAGGAAGAGATATGTTTCTCTTCTCCCCCACAAAATGACTCCCACTTCCTCACAACAAGATGTTTTTCTCAGGGCTCTTCCAGAGACGCTCTATATTCCAGGATCTGATCCCAGGTTTTCTGCTTTAAACTGGATTATATGAGTCTGCGTCGACAGATAATCTGGGATAAACAGAAAACCTTGACTCAGATGCAGGGATATTGGGTCTGTCTGGAAGGGCTCCCAGACTTAGTTCCCTAAAGCTAAGCTGGGTCAGCCCTACCTTGTACTTGGGTGGGAGACCACTAATGAAATATAACTGTAAGCTATATTTCAGAAGAATGAATTGGCAAAACCATCTCTGAGTATTCCTTGCCCAGTAAAGCCCATTTCATGCATAAAATCGCCAAAAGTCAACAGAAAACTTGAAGACACATACACACACATATAAGAAATTGGACTTGGGACATACACTGCTACTGAAAATGCAGGGTAGAACTTTCTCATGAAACTTCTAATATAAGGCCATTATTATTTATTTCATTTACATACAAAAATGTATTTTCCCTTCCAATACTCTACCCTTCAATTTGACAAATAAGGAGGAAGAATTTAAAAGCAGAGCATGTTAGCCTGTTAGTAAACCAAGGAATCTCACAGCACCTTTGAGACTAACTGGAAGGATGAAGTTGGTCAATTCACCCTTTGGACAAAAGCAAAGAGGAGAGATATTCAAGATGATATCAAAATTAGTTATTTGCCTTTAGACAGCAACCAATTAAATGTAGAAAGTGTTGGCGGAAGAGTAAGATGAAAATGGAGCTGTAGATGAAATCCTGACTCACACAGAGGAAGAGAAAGATTCCAGATATGAATAAATCACAAACAAAGCCCAATTTCATTTGAAGGCACTCAGATGCTGGTCTGAGAACAAGAGAAATTAAAGTGCAATTGTTTCTGTGAATGGTAAAAACGGTTTTTCACATGGATTTTCCAGTCATTATTTTTGAAAGGGCTCTCTTTAGAAATTAATTCAAAAACATGTAACTTAATGAAATGGGAATGACACCATTCAGTCCACCAAAGGTAGCTGCACAGATTCCTCTCTTACATACTAATATCTCTTTACAATTGAATACCAACCTTCTGTATGGCTTATTTAAAATAATATGGAGTCTCTCAGCATTCAAATTAGGGATTGCTGCCTCAATATGCTTTGGGTCAAACATTTTAGCCCTTTCAACTGAAATACATGCAGGTTTTTGAGGTTATAAATGGTATATATTTCCAAGATGTTTTTCCTTTAAAATATGCATTCTTTCAGCAGAAAAAAAGCATCACAAGAATGACACTGACAAATAACAAGAAAAGCTGAACTATGGGCATTTTTGCTAACAGGCAAGGCTCATTACAATTCCACATGAATTCCCTTCTCTAGCCAACAGCCCTTGTAAGGAAAAAGACTAATGCTACACAAAAGTACAAACAGTTTTACATGTTTCCCAAAGCAAGCTGGGAGACATTCGCTATTTATTCACACTAAGCAATTATTTAGTTGGCAAACTAAATAGATTGTGCTCCACCACCCACCGGTCCTTGAAGGAAAGACATAAGGCAAACAAAATAAACAAAGCATTCCTTGCTGCATGAAGATGTTATGCTCTTTGCCTCTCTGACACTTTCCATTTGGCTGTGCCTGATGATCAGAGGAAAAGACTTTGAGCACAATGTTTGTTTCAAATGTTGCTTTAACCATCGCAGTCAGTCCCCTCACTTCTTTTAAATGTTAAAACGTTAAGAATACTTTCAACCAATCTGATAGTTAGGAGAGAAAGAGACAGATAATTTGACTCGGAATCAGAATGTCTGTAAGTGATTTAGTGCCAGTCCATCATGAAAACATACAAGAAACTTTGAGCAGAATGTGACAGATGCCTGGCTGTGCTCCAGTCCAAGAAGGAAAACTCCAAGCACAGACAGGTTTTTCCTCCTGAGACATGGGAGATATATCAACCACGAATTCTGATCATTGTCCAGATTACCACATGGAACAATTAAAATAAGTTTCGAAAACATGCAAATGTGAGTAGATCAATAGGTACCGCTCCGGCGGGAAGGTAACGGCGCTCCATGCAGTCATGCCGGCCACATGACCTTGGAGGTGTCTACGGACAACGCTGGCTCTTCGGCTTAGAAATGGAGATGAGCACCACACCCCAGAGTCAGACATGACTGGACTTAATGTCAGGGGACTACCTTTACCTTTACCTTTACTAAAAATGGGTACATAATACAGTCACTTTCATTGCTGGAAGAATGGTTCCATTATCTACCAAACCTTTTTCAAAAATCCAGCGCTGCAGCCAGTAATGAAGGGTCTCTTCCAATGCTCTTTCAAACACATCAAGTAGTTCGACAAAAATGTGTGGTCTTACCTGACACATGAAAGAAGGTATCACTCTGTGGAAAGTGGATCCTTTGTATCCAAAACCCTTTTCTCCGGTGCAGAGAGCTCTAAAATTTTCTGGAAGATGGAAGGAGAGAGAAAGCAGCTTGATTATCAGAAGAAAAGCTAAGTGTTGTTGTATTGCCCCAATACTTTAAAGGCATCAAATTCTGTCTGATCCTGGACCCTAAACAAGAATAGCCCTGGGTAGCACTTGGATGGTAGATTGCCAACAAACATCAGGGCTGTATTTCAGATGAAGGAATGGGCAAAATCACCCCTGAATGATACAGATTTAATCTTACTATATCTAGAAGGAAGTGAAACATGTTTTGTACATGCAATAGGTCTCTTAATCACATCCCACCAGAGGCTACAACTGCAGAACATTTATCCTACCAACTGTGCCTACATTGTGCTATCCTTTAATAGATTTTTACTTGATGTTAAGAGAATTTGTGACAGTCAATCCTTACACGAGGAACCAAAGGACAGAAACTGTGTGGTTATGATTTAGAGCTTTTCTTCCTGTTCTCTGAAAAGAAGATTGCACTGACCAACATACAATTTGGTGTCTAAAACGTTAGAGCCATTTCTGGGTATATCTGACCTGCTGGATTCAAAAAAATGACACCTGTTTACCCTTATCAGTTCTAGATTTTTAGGTGTAGAACATATGTCATATACCAGTCACCATCTGCTCATCCATGAGATATCATGATAACCATATATAAGAAATTAGAGCTGATGTGGGCTATCCAATTTTCTGAATCAGCACCCATAAATAAACCCAGAAGTAGGCCTAACAATCAAGGTAAAAATATTTTTTTTGGTTGAGCTTTGTTATTCATGGAGAAAAGGTAAAAAAACATACAACTGGATTTGATCACACATAATGTATTCCTCCAAAATAAAAAATACCCCACTATGGAAGGCCTTCCCTAGAGATATCAGATTGGCCACCTTCCTCTTGTCTTTTAGAAGGAAAATCAAGACCTGGTTATGAGACCAAGCGTTTGATCAGTGAGCAGCAAGTGAAAGAAGATCACACAACTTATGGCAATGAATTGACCCGGACTGGTTCTTGGATTTCGATTTTAATGGATGTGTCTTAATTAATTGTTTTAATTGTTTTAATTTTTACTATTTCGATTGTACTGTGGTTGTTTTTATGATGCTAGCATCGTATGATGCTTTCGTTAGGCCGCCCTTAGTCCCCTTCGGGGGGAGAAGGGCGGGGTATAAATATAGGAAATAAATAAAATAAATAAATCATGTGACTGACAACAAAGGCCTACAAAAGGAAGAGAAACTAAGGTGCAAATGCACAATACAGCTGCTTTCATCTCCACTAAGCACGTAGGTCTACTTGGAACTGATTAGCCCAATTGAGATTCCAGGAAATAAGATGTCTAACAGAAAGACGAGTGCTCATCTGTACAAGATATGCTCCTTAAGAAACAGAAGGATTACAAGAAGGTGGTTCGTGCCAGTAATATAAATGGTGTAACACAAAGAGGCTAGATAGTAGCAGAGTACAATCAATTGGATTATGCTAGTGAAAAAACACAAATCTGTAAGCCATTATTTTTGCTTGCACAACAATTCTCATAATTTTAGCATTATGGAAAACTGCAGAATTTCATAAAGTGTAAACACACAGAGAAAGGATTATGCTATAAATACATGTGATAAAGTGAAAAAAAGTTCATATTTTAAACAATTTTCCTTCATTTTGATTTGCTAACATTATCTAAGCAAAATAATTTAATTAAGCACTAGTCAAAATTTGACCTTACCTGCTGTTTTTGGCACAACATCCGCTTTCAGCTGTTAGGAAGAAGAAAAATAGACTGAGAAACACGTAACAGCTTAACATGGTGCATTATTTAAAACTAACACAACAAAGGGACATAATGTTTTACTAGAAAATCAGTATAGTAAAGCCTGTAAAGCTTTTACCAAATACAATCTGAGTGCATAGAGGCCAGCCTTTCCTGAAGCTGCATTTTAACTTTTCTCTGTCCTCATTCCGTTAAAACATTTCCATGTGTAAAGTCAGTCTGTTTGATCTAATCTGAATACCAAGAATTTTAATATGTAACACAGAATAAAATGTAACAAAATTCTAAATTCTAAAAGCAATGATAGCTTTACTGAGCCAAGTACAAAATAGTCATGCAAAATTATACAGCAAGGGACATTGCTGTATAAATTTTACTACCTGTTTTGAAATTTTACTACCTGTTTTTTACTGACCTTTGCCCCTGCTGTACACATGGCCAAGGAGAGTGGCCTCTGCATGCACTGAAATCCCTCCAAACGATGTTAACTGACAACAGAAGTAATATCAGGGACAAAATGACTCTAATATCGCAGCTTTTGTTCTCCTATATGATTTTTAACATCTTTGGCTGATGTAGCAGCCCACACAGCTTCAAAAGCTACATGATGTATTTTGTACATTTCAGTTGGCTCACTAAAGCATCACTCTTTTGAGGATTTTATATTTTGTTGTGTTTAACAGAAAGGGCAGTTTTTCCAAGAGCAAATGCAAATCCTTCCAAGCATTCTTGATAAGTTACACTAAATGCATACATTCAGCTGTATCAAACTGACAGGTAAAACACAGTATCAACCTGACAGGTAAAACAAATCAAATGTGGAATTAACTGCAGTAGATGCCAATTTCTCACATCAGACAGCAATTGAAGTGACTCTGCATTGAATGATCAAAACCACAAGCCATCTGAGCTCTGATGTAGATGTCAACAAAACACAGGTTGATTCAAAAAAGTTCATTTCAGCTCTATAGCTAAAGAGCCCCTGCCAACTAGCGCAAGCCCACTGAGTTAATGGAAACCTGCTAATTCAACATTCATTCAACATGAGTCTATACAAACTTTGAGGATTATGAACATTGTAATATTTTGTTGGCTGAACCATATGCAGGTTTCCTATATGACATCTTATTTGTAGATTAATCTGAACGACAATAAGGTATTATTTCTAGTTTGCTGAGAATATACTAGAGTTCAAAAAAAAATCTTCCATAGGATCTGTTCACATTACTTCCATTTATAGTCCAGTAGCCACATCTATGTTTTTATGAATTTAAATGAATTGTTTTGAATACTAATTATGCTTAATACTGTTTTATATGCATATTTTAAAATGTATTGTAATGTGTTTAATGTTCACTACTTTGAGTCTCCTTATGAAGAGAAAAAGCAAGATAATAATAATAGTAAGATGATGACGATGAGGTAGTAGTAGTAGTAGTAGTATTAGTACTTATGGGATCACAAGCCTGAAAAAGTTACAGAAAATGAACATATCAAACTACTCTGGGACTTCTGAATTCAGACTGACTGAGTTTGGAGTACAATATTCCTGACCTCACAATCGTGTTAAAAAATCAAGTATGGATCGTCAATGTTGCAATCCCAGGGGACAGCAGAACTGAAGAGAAACAACTGGAAAAGCTGACACAATATGAGGATTTTAAGATCAAACTGCAAAGGTTCTGGCACAAGCCAGTTAAGGTGGTCCCAGTGGTGATCGGCACACTGGGTGCAGTGCCTGAACACCTTGGCCTGCACTTAAACATAATTGGCGCTGATAAAATTACCATCTGTCAGCTGCAAAAGGCCACCCTACTGGGATCTGCACGCATTATTGGCCAATACATCCCATAGCCCTAGACACTTGGGAAGTGTCCGACATGGTCCAATACAACAACCAGCATAGTGATCTTGTTTGCTGTGTACTAATCTTGTTGTGTTTCAATAATAATGGCACTTGTTGCAGGGTATATGACTTTGGACAATAACAGAAAATGTCAAATGAAAACATCAGTTACATTTCAACTGATTTATAGATTAAATGTTTTATCCTGTTGCATTCAGATATGCCCTGAGTTAACCTGCAAGGCTTTAATCTTCCGGGATCAATATATAGATCCTGTGTACATGTAGCTTTGGTGTACTTCAACCTCCAGTGTGGGAAGATTGTGTTCAACTATGCTCTCTCTAACTAGGAAGAAACTCAGAGAAGTATACGTGTCATAATTTCCTAAAAGGAAATCAGGTAGTAAGAATACTGGGGGGCATGGTACTATGAAGCTACACCATATTGTAGAACAGCTTGATCACACATGCTTACTGATAATAAGGGGGGAAAATGCAAACAAACTTTTGTGAAATTTGCCCGACCTTTGCAGAAACTACACCTTTTCTGCAATGAACTGGAAATCCTCTGACAGTGCCATATACTGGTTAATGTGGACTCAAATGTTATGCAGAAGGAAAAGTGAGCACCAGCCTACAAAATGCTCATAGATAACATAGGACTAGAATCATACACTTGATTCTTCTTAGATTTAACTCCTCTTGCTATTAAAGTATTTATTAATGAATACACTGGGTATGCGCATATCACTCAAGCATGTTCTTAGAAAGGTAACTTTCATATCTACACTTTTCCCACTCCACATTTAACAACAAAAAATGTCTAGTTGGCTTCGGCCCAAGCTATGTAAGACTGCCTTCTCCCATATAAACGCATCCAAAATTTGAAAACTTCAGCAAAAGCCATGTTATGTGTTTTCCTACCCCACAAAACTAGGCTTATGGAGCAGTGTGGCAAAGCTTTCTCTGTAGCATTGCATCAATTTAACAAATCAGGTGGGCTCTATGCCATTTTGAGTTTCTGGTAGGCAACTAGGTCGGCATAGCCTTCACCAGTCCTTGGGCTCTTTCAACTTACACAGTTACAGCAGTACGATTCCTTTTTAACCATTATGGTTATTTCCCACAGAACTCTGGGTTTGTAATTTTGTGTAAGGCATTGGAGTTTTCTTGACTGTTGTTGTGTCTCTTCAAGTCATTTCCAACTTATGATGACCCTAAGGAAAAGCTATTGTGAGGATTTCTTGGGGCCGAGTGTGTGGGACTTGGCCAAAATCACCCAGTGGGTTTTTGTGGCTTAGCAGAGAACTGAACACTAACCTGTCTAGAGTCATAGTCCAATGTTCAAGCCACTACATTATGTTGGATTTCTAGATATATCTCATCAAATTGAAGCTTTTCTAAATAATTTGTCCCAGTTAACAGATGCCTGAATTCTATAGAATGTTGTTATGAAACTTACTCATCATGTTATAATTGTGCAGTGGGCGCCTTAAGGGTTGCTGATTTATCTGTTTGTGACTTTAAAAGTATTTTGAAGTGTGTTTTAACTGAGTTTTCGATGCCTTTATTTGTGTATTTAATTATTCTTTTACAATTTTGCCTAGTGTATATCACCTCAAGGGGCTGGTGTATTATAATGCGGTAGGCAAATGCTTTGAATAAATAATACAATTACCTCAATTAACAAAAAACAGAGACATTATCAGAAAACAGACTTTCCTTTTACACTAACATTCAAGAATCTCAAATATTCAAGAAGCCTATTTTAAATACATACTGAAATAATGCAGCTAAGGACAACTTTTTGCTTCTGTACAAAGAAATAGTTGATTACACACACAACAGTTGGGGGAGCAGCTTTAGCGTTTTCCCAGAGGCAGACATTTCACATTACAGAATTTTATTAACTTCCAGTGTACATAACACAGTTAAGCATGTTTATGACTCAGTTATATTGGCTGTAAAGAGAAGCTGGGTGAGGTGTTAGAAAGTCTGTGTGCAGAAGGAGTATTTGTTTGCAGAAATCCTACCCAAATCTGCTCTCTTGGTTTTCTGAGCATCCTTGCTTTTTACCTGTTCACTTAGCATTATGTGATGTTGCCTGTAGGAATGAACTACTCACAATCATTTGACACTGTCACTGGGATAATTTATGATGCAATGCATATGACTCCTCAATGTGAACCTAGAACCATCTACCTGTGGAAAGATTACATCATAATGGATTCCCTGTGTAACTTTCCCAGAAATTCCTGTAGGTTTGATTCAGCAGTCCTTCAAAATCTTCTCATAAAGGAACACGGAAAAACCGAAGTATAATCAGCTCTGACATAACACAATTTTTGATTATGAATTGAATGAGATCACTCACACAACCTCTACAATCACCAGATCAAACTCAACCTCAAGTGCTCAAGAGCTTTACATTTTTTTGGTATTTATTTGATTCACATCCTACTTGTCTCCCAATATGAGAAACTGGTTAAACAAAGTATGTCCTACTTCAGGATAAAGAAAGAATGTAATATCTACTTTTTTAAGCCCAGTCTATATGTACAACAAAGGCTATGTAAAAGCTTTCTGTAGATGCCCAACATAGTAAGTAATACCTGGTCTCACTTTAGCTACTTCAGCATCATATGTCAGGGTGGGAAAATCTATCTTTTCACCAATCAAATCCATCAAACTTTTCTAATAAAAGCCATGATTATAAAAGCAATTATATTCACTGGAAGGCATATAATCCCCAGGTTACAGACGAGATAGCTTCTGTAAGTCTGTTCTAAAGTTGAATGTGTATGTAAGTCAGAACAGGTACATTTTAAGTGTAACTCCAGCCATTTGTGTGTGTAAGCGGGGGGGGGGGGGGGGATTGGACAGCATAGGGTTAACACTCCTATGATGTTTGTTTTGCTGTCCCTGTGATAACTGGATTTTTAACATTTTAGGTTGTTGTGTAAACAAGGATTGGTGACAAAGCTTCAGTGGAGACACTGTTCTCCTATGATAACCTTCAAGGAGTGAATTTCCCTTCCTGGGGATAGATTTCTCTTACTTCCTATTTGTCTCATCCAGTTCTTAACTATGAGTTGTGTGTAATTCGGATGTTTGTAACTCAGGGACTGGCTGTACTCCAAATAAAACTGAAAGGAACTAGGGCTAAGGTAGCAATAAAAAATACCAGTGAGGACTAAGAAGGCCTGGAAGTGGAATTTTACCAGCTCAACAAGAGGGAATCAGAGTAGACACTGATTAGAGCTTACACCTGAAGGACCAAGGAAGGAAACAAAGGATGAGAAAGATGAGGCAAAGATCAGATAGCTTTGCACATGCTATAAGACTAATCTGCTCCTCAATTCAGAGTGGCACTTTCCCACCCAGGAAGATGACTTGATCAATTAAACTTCTTGCAATGGCTTCCTGCCTTCAGTGTTAGATTGGCTCAAAAAGCTGAAGGTTTGGGGATAATTAATAATAAAGGGACACAGCAGTGATCCTCAACAAAAGCCATGCATAAATATGTGAAAGGATGTCATAAGGAAGAGGGAGCAGGCTTGTTTTCTGCTACCCTGGAAACTATGACTCGGAGGAATGGATTCAAATTACTAGAAAGGAGATCCAAACTGAACGTTATGAAGAACTTCCTAACTGTTAGAGCTGTTCAGCAGTGGAACTCTCTGACTTGGAGTGTGGTGGAACCTCCTTTTTTGGAAACTTTTAAACAAGAGGCTGGATGGCCACCTGTCAGGGGTACTTTGATCGTGCTTTTCCTGCATGACATGGGGTTGGACTACATGGATTACATGATCCCTACCAACTCTGTTATTCTATGGTTCTAAGGTGTAAAGTCTGGCGCCAAGATCCCACGGACCCCACCGTTGAAACTAGCGGTGTCCGAAGGTTAGGAAGGCCCTTCAACTTTGTTACGCAGTATCAGGGTGGTTTTTAATGCATTTGATTGGGGTTTTAATTAGGGTTTCACAGCATTTGCTAATATTTATGGTCCAGTCAAGTTTATTTATACCCCGTCCCAACCTTCCTTGGGGACTTGGTTTTAATTTTTATATTGTATGTTTGTACTGGCTGTAAGCCGCCTTGGGCCCTTGACTGTGGAAAGGGAGGGTATAAATTTAATAAACCATTTGGGCCCAGAGTATTTGACAACCCGCATCCCCACCTACAAATCTGTTTGGATTCTGTGATCAGCGGAGGGGGTCCTCCTCTCAGTTCCACCCCGTTATCAAGCACGGCTGGTGGGAACGAGAGAGAGGGCATTTTCCGTGGTCACTCCTAACTTATGGAGAGGAGGGTGGATAGTTTACCACCGATTCCATCTTGGTGGACAAAACTGACTGACTATTTTAATTTACCAAAGAGCTATATTTTTATATTTTTAGACAGATTTTAACTCTTTAATTGTATTATCTACGATGCCAGACTGACTGATTTATGTTTTTATAGCCAAAGGCTTTTTGATTCGATCTTATGTTTAAATTTTTTCATTTTATTGTTGTACGCAGCATTTAATGTTTGCCATTTTTGTTTATGGAAGCCACCCTGAGTCCCTTTGGGGAGAGAGGGCAAGTTAAAAATAAAGTTTTATTATTATTATATCTATATCTATATATATATAAATGCTCTGTGAATAATGAGTACCTTAAAAACAAAAGAACCAATGAACGAAATCACACCAAATTTGGCAACAAAACGTCTCACAACACAAGGAGTGACCATTACTCAAAAATTATGATTTTGTCATTTGGGAGTTGTAGTTGCTGGGATTTATAATTCGCCTACAATCAAAGAGCATTCTGAACTCCATCAACGATGGAATTGAACCAAACTTGGCAAACAGAACTCCCATGACCAACAGAAAATACTGGAAGGGTTTTGGTGGGGATTGACCTTGAGATTGGGAGTTGTACTTCACCTACATCCAGAGAGCACTGTGAACTCAAACAATGATGGATCTGAACCAAACTTGCCACAAGCACTCAATACACCCAAATACGAAAACAGATGGAGTTTGGGGGAAAGAGACCTTGACATTTTGGAGTTGTAGTTACTGGGATTTATAGTTCACTTACAATCAAAGACCATTCTGAACCTCACCAACGACAGAACTGGGGCAAACTTCCCACACAGAACTCTCATGACCAGCAGAAAATGCCATCCAGTCCAACTCCCTTCACCAAAGCCCTCCCGACTAAGAGCCATCCAGCCATAGATATAGATAAATATAATTCACACACACAAATACACACACTTTGTTTGTTTGTTTGTCGTGTCAGATCAACCAGTCAACACACACACTGATATACTATCATAGATTTGAAAGGGACCCCTAAAGGACAATTATATGTTGCATGTTCCAGAGTAGGCAAACCAGACAACCTCCACGTCGACGCTGACAAAAAATACTGTTTACCCACAAGCATCAAGAAATTACATATATTAGAAACCAACACTTTCTAATTACTATGTTTTCCAGATCACCAGACTGGGCCACAGCAACGCCTGGCAGGAGACAGTTGGTAAATAAAGATCAGTAAATCCCTGATCCAGAACATTGTTATGGTTTCCAATGGCCCCTTTGAAGGGCACCTTGAAGAGAGAGGACGCCCAGAGAGAAGGAGCCTGGAGAGGAGAGAGGGTGCCTCGAGACCTTGCTACTACTCCCAGGATAGCACAGCATGGGGCCAGGGCAAGGCAAGTGGCACCAAACCACATTCATTCCATAGTGTGGACCAGGTATGGGCGAGCTTGGGCCCTCCAGGTGTTTTGGACTTCAACTCCCACAATTCCTAACAGCCTACCGGCTGTTAGGAATTGTGGGAGTTGAAGTCCAAAACACCTGGAGGGCCCAAGCTCTCTCATACCTGGTGTAGCTGCACCTGAGGAGGGGCAGAGGCAAAGAGAAGGCGCGCGCACCTCGAAGACGACGCGGCCCAGGGGCTGGTTGTCGGCGCCCACGTCCAGGAACACCAGGGGGTTGTCGTCGTCGTCCTCGCCGCGGCGGCTGCTGCTGCTGCTGTCGCTGCACTCCCGGGTGGCGGAGCGGAGCAGCGGGAGGAGGAGGAGGCGACTGCGGGCGGAGCGGAGGGCCAGCATGGCGGCGGGCAGAACACAGAGAGACCTGAGAGGAAGCGTCCTTTCCCGCGTCGCTCTCTCAAGCGCGCTGAGAAAGCCGGCCTCGCGCTTCAGGCCTCCTTTATAAGCCTTCCTCCAGCGACGGCGCGTGGCCGTGACGTCACGGGGCGGGCGTTTAGACGGCGCGCGCGAGGCCCTTCCCCACAGGCATCTCCTGCGAGGGGCCTCTACGAGGGCCTGGGTCTCACTGAACTACAATCCCCAGAGAGGTCTGCCCCACTCAGCTCTAGTGTGATAACGCACTGAGTCGGCTTTCTTCTGAGAGGAGAAGGCCCCAAGCACCTTTGTGTTTTGGTTGTGATAAAGGTACTTAGTTGTTTGCTCTGCTGAGAAGCACAGGCCCCAGAGAGGCCCTGCTTCCTCCTTTGGGGAGTTCAGGGCAGTGGCCCAGTCCTGTTCAACATCTTTATTAATGACTTAGTTCAGCATTTCTCAACCTGGGGGTCGGGACCTCCGGGGGGGGGTCACAAGGGGGTGTCAGGGGGTTGCCAAGGACCATCAGAAAACACAGTCATGGGGGTTTTGTGTGGGAAGTTTGGCCCAATTCTATTATTGGTGGGGTTTGGAATGCTCTTTGATTGTAAGGTAAAGGTAGTCATAGAATCATAGAATCAAAGAGTTGGAAGAGACCTCATGGGCCATCCAGTCCAACCCCATTCTGCCAAGAAGCAGGAATATTGCATTCAAATCACCCCTGACAGATGGCCATCCAGCCTCTATTTAAAAGCTTCCAAAGAAGGAGCCTCCACCACACTCCGGGGCAGAGAGTTCCACTGCTGAACGGCTCTCACAGTCAGGAAGTTCTTCCTCATGTTCAGATGGAATCTCCTCTCTTGTAGTTTGAAGCCATTGCTCCATTGCGTCCTAGTCTCCAGGGAAGCAGAAAACAAGCTTGCTCCCTCCTCCCTGTGGCTTCCTCTCACATATTATACATGGCTATCATATCTCCTCTCAGCCTTCTCTTCTTCAGGCTAAACATGCCCAGCTCCTTAAGCCGCTCCTCATAGGGCTTGTTCTCCAGACCCTTGATCATTTTAGTCGCCCTCCTCTGGACACATTCCAGTTTGTCAATATCTCTCTTGAATTGTGTAGTCCCCTGACATTAAGTCCAGTCATGTCTGACTCTGGGGTGTGGTGCACATCTCAATTTCTAAGCCGAAGAGCCAGCGTTGTCCGTAGACACCTCCAAGGTCATGTGGCCGGCATGAGAGCATCTATGATTGTAGGTGAACTATAAATCCCAGCAATTACAACTCCCAAATTGCAAGGTCTATTTCCCCCAAACTCCACCAGGGTTCACCTTTGGGCATATTGAGTATTCATGCCAATATTGGTCCAGATCTATCACTGTTTGCGTCCACAGTGCTCTTGGGAAGTAGGTGAACTACAACTCCAAAACTCAAAGTCGATATCCACCAAACGCTTCCAATATTTTCTGTTGATCATGGGAGTTCTGTGCGCCATCATTGGTGGAGTTCAGAATACTCTTTGATTGTAGGTGAACTATAAATCCCAGCAACTACAACTCCCAAATGACAAAATCAATCCACCCCAACCCCACCAGTATTCAAATTTGGGTGTATTGGGTATTTGTGCCAAATTCGGTCCAGTGAATGAAAATACATCCTGCATTTCAGATATTTACTACGATCCATAACAGTAGCAAAATTACAGATATGAAGTAGTAATGAAAATAATTTTATGGCTGGGGGTCACCACAACATTAGGGACTGTATTAAGGGGTCGCGGCATTATGAAAGTTGAGAACCACTGACTTAGATGAATAATAATAATAATAATAGTAATAATATTTATTTATTTATTTATTTATTTATTTTATCATGTCAGGAGCAGCCAGTATTACATTTTTAACAAAAGAAACAGACAAAACACAAAGTTTGCAAGCTTAGTAGTTGATTAAATGTCCTTTGACCAGTAGCAGGCCATTTGGAGTGCCTCTGGTGTTGCCGCAAGAAGGTCCTCCATTGTGCATGTAGCAGGGCTCAGGTTGCATTGCAGCAGGTGGTCAGTACTTTGCTCTCCTCCACACTCACATGTCGAGGATTCCACTTTGTAGCCCCATTTCTGAAGGTTGGCTCTGCATCTCATGGTGCCAGAGCGCAGTCTGTTCAGCACCTTCCAAGTCGCCCAGTCCTCTGTGTGCCCAGGGGGGAGTCTCTCATTTGGTATCAGCCATTGGTTGAGGTTCTGGGTTTGAGCTTGCCACTTTTGGACTCTCGCTTGCTGAGGTGTTCCAGTGAGTGTCTGGTTGGCTCTGCATCTCATGGTGCCAGAGCGCAGTCTGTTCCGCGACTTCCAAGTCGCCCAGTTTTCTGTGTGCCCAGACGGGAGTCCCTCATTTGGCATCAGCCATTGATTGAGGTTCCGAGTTTGAGCCTGCCACTTTTGGACTCTTGCTTGCTGGGGTGTTCCAGCGAGTGTCTCTGTAGATCTTAGAAAACTATTTCTTGATTTAAGTCGTTGACGTGCTGGCTGATACCCAAACAAGGATGAGCTGGAGATGTCACTGCCTTGGTCCTTTCACTATTGGTTGCTACTTCCCGGCGGATGTCAGGTGGTGCAATATGTAATTTCTCCAGTGGTGTAGGGCGCAGACACCCCATGATAATGCGGCATGTCTCATTAAGAGCCATATCCACTGTTTTAGCATGGTGAGATGTGTTCCACACTGGGCATGCATACTCAGCAACAGAGTAGCATAGCGCAAGGGCAGATGTCTTCACTGTGTTTGGTTGTGATCCCCAGGTTGTGCCAGTCAGCTTTCGTATGATATTGTTTCTAGCACCCACTTTTTGCTTGATGTTCAGGCAGTGCTTCTTGTAGGTCAGAGCATGGTCCAGGACTCCCAGGTATTTGGGTGTGTTGCAATGCTCCAGTGGGATTCCTTCCCAGGTGATCCTCAGAGCTCAGGGTGCTTGTTTGTTCTTAAGGTGAAAAGCACATGTCTGTGTTTTAGATGGATTAGGGATCAGCTGGTTTTCACACAACCAGCCTGGACACAGCATATTATTTGAGAACACAGAAATGCTGGACCACACCAACAACCACCATGTCAGACTACACAGAGAAGCCATTGAAATCCGCAAGCATGTGGACAATTTCAACAGAAAGGAAGAGACCATGAAAATGAACAAAATCTGGCTACCAGTATTAAAAACTCTAAAATTACAACAGCAAAACAGCAGAGAGGAAACAACCAGGCACATCTTAACACCTCTCAACAAAAGATTTTCCCAGGCTCAGGCAGGCCTTCAAATGCTAATGAAGGTGGTCAGTTGAAACATTCACACCTAGCTCCAGCAGAGAAGAGCTCTTTGCCCCACCCCAGCCATTCCACAGATATATAAACCCATTTTCCTATTTCCAACAGACCTCACTACCTCTGAGGATGCTTGCCATAGATGCAGGCGAAACGTCAGGAGAAATGCCTCTAGAACATGGCCCTATAGCCCGAAAAAAACCCACAAGAACCTAGTGATTCCAGCCATGAAAGCCTTCGACATTTACACAAATTTATTTATACCCTACCACCATCTCTCCGATGGGGACTCGGAGTGGCTTACATGGGTCCAGGCCCGAACAATAATTACAATAAAGAAAACCAAGACACAACCGAAAACACAAACAATAAAATCATAATTACATAAAACATATTAATACACAACAATATAAGAATTACAATAGACACAGGCACAGAGACAATGGGCAGGCTACATGTAATGATTAAAAGACTAACTGATTAACTAATTAAAAACTCAGACAAGATAAAAGAGATAATATGCGGAGTAGTGCTCATTGTGGCGGGGGTTGTGGAGTCAAGCTTTCCCGGGGGGGGGGGGGGGGGGGGACGGACGACATCAATGACAGATAAAGGGTTAGAAGGCATGATCATCAAGTTTGCAGACGACAGCAAATTGGGAGGGATAGCCAATACTCCAGAGGACAGGAGCAGAATTCAAAACGATTTTGACAGATTAGAGCCCTCCATCGGTTTGAGGGACAGTAAACTGGCCCCTGGTTTAAAAAGTTTGAGGACCCCTGGATTAGAGAGATGGGCCAAAACTAACAAAATGAAATTCATCAGGGACAAATGCAAGATACCCCACTTAGGCAGAAAAAACGAAATACAAAAATACAGAATGGGGGCAATGCCTGGCTCAAGAGCAGTACATGTGAAAAAGATCTTGGAATCCTGATGGACAACAAGTTAAACATGAGCCAACAATGTCATGTGGTGGCAAAAAAAGCCAATAGGATTTTGGCCTGCATCAATAGGAGCATAGTGTCTGGATCTAGGAAAGTAATGTTGCTCCTCTATTCTGCCTTGGTTAGTCCATACCTGGAATATTGTGTCCAATTCTGGGCACCACAATTGAAGAGAGATATTGACAAGATGGAATGTGTCCAGAGGAGGGCGACTAAAATGATCAAGGGTCTAGAGAACTCTCTGCCCAGGAGTGTGGTGGAGGCTCCTTCTTTGGAAGCTTTTAAACAGAGACTGGATGGTCATCTGTCAGGGGTGCTTTGAATGCAATATTCCTGTTTCTTGGCAGGGGGTTGGACTGGATGGCCCATGAGGTCTCTTCCAACTCTATAATTCTATGTTGCCTCTCAGAATGGTGTGAAGAGCCCCCTTGGTTGCCTCAGCGCCTGCTGCTTGACCCTCCTTTCCCTCTGCCTTCTTTGCACCCGTGGACAGGTGGTACTTGTGAGGGCTGGTAAATATGTATAAGATCCAACCAGTCCATACTTCAGGAAATAAAGCCTGACTGCTCATTGAAGGGAAGGATATTAGAGGCAAAGATGAAGTACTTTGGTCACATCATGAGAAGACAGGAAAGCTTAGAGAAGACAATGATGCTGGGGAAAATGGAAGGAAAAAGGAAGAGGGGCCAATCAAGGGCAAGATGGATCGTATCCTAGAAATGACTGGCTTGACCTTGAAGGAGCTGGGGGTGGTGACGGCTGACGGAGCTCTGGCGTGGACTGGTCCATGAGATCACAAAGAGTCAGAAGCAACTGGAACAAATAAACAACATATTTATTTCAG